ATTTGGTGTTAAAAATGTAATTTGTTTAGAGGTGGAGTAATATAATAATAATAATAATAATAATAATATTTATTATTATTATTATTATAAAAGAAAAAAAAAGAAAGGAAATGTCAAAGTGGGCTGCCACTTATTTGATTGGCAGTAGCCTTTTTGAGGCCAAAAGGGGTCACGGACAGAGAGCAGCCGAGCAGAGCAAAACAGAGAGGAAAAATGGAGTGAAACCGAGAGAAGGAAGAAGGGAGAAAAAGAGAGGTGCAGCCTGGTTTTGTGCTCCGATCGACGACCAAACGAGCTCCGATCGGGATGAAATTTTAGTATGTTGTTCCTGACATCCTCTTCTTCATATCCAACGGTGGGATTGTTGTTTTGACCTCTCGATGTCGGTAAAACTGCCTCTGTTCCTCTGCTGCGTTTTTGTGTGGATTTCTCACTTTTGAGTGAAGATTATTGTTGTTTGGTGTTCCAAGTTGTTGCTTGATGATTGTGTATACCTCTAATTGATTTAGAGAGGATTCTTGGTGTACCCACTGATTTTCTTGGTGATTAGTGGAAGGCTTCGTGGTTTTTTCCCTAATTTGGGGTTTTCACGTTAAATCTTGGTGTTCGTTTATCGCTTGATTGGTTGTTTGTTGTTGTGTTTGCTATTCTTGATTGGTTATATGATTTTGCCCATTTTGACAACACAAAGACGGGAAAATTATTAATTGCTTCCGCTAGAAAATTGAGGTGATTTTCCCCAAACACCCATTTGGTTGAGTGACAAATGGGGGCGAGACCTGAGAGTGGGTAAGGATTCTGTTTCGAAAGGAAACAAAAATCATTTCCCTTGATGGAGGAAATATTTTGCTACCACTTATGTTAACAAATACTCCTAGCCAAACGGACCTAAATGTGATATTGCGGCAAATTAAGTCCAGTGGTCAATAATGAAGATGAATACGGAAGTCCAATCTAAATTTAAGTCATCACAAGTCCGCAAGTAATTAGACATGGATTATGGATATACCTTCTACTTCCATTCAAGTTTAATTTAAGGTGCTCATCGCTTTGCATTATCAAATTTAACAAGGTTTAACAATTATAACCACGTTAACCAACTATAATAGGTTCTTACTAGATAGTAAACCTCTTAAGAATTTACAGATTTCCATATAGTTTTTCATTATTAATTAATACAGCTGCTTCATAATGACAGAACAACCATAATTTATACACAAATACATGCAATCAACTGGAAATTGACTATAATTATTGTAGAGTATTTATGCCATCCTTCATGGAGACTACTAGTTCATTAAGCCTATATAGGGTAACAACTCAAAGTCACCTTGCCTTTTGAGAAGGCTGAGGCGAACATATCGAGCATCGGCATTGAACTTAGTGCCCTCACGGCCTATGATGTTTGCCGATTTGAGTACTTCAAAATGTTAGAATATAAATAACTATTCCTGGGCCACAATCACAAGCTTGAGCTTTTGGTTGAGTTGGTTCCTTGACATGGTATCAGAGCCTCGTTGACTAAGAGGTCACGGGTTCGAAACTCAGCGCCACCCAGTTTAAAAAAAAATATTAAGGTTTCACGTGCAAGGCTCGAAAAAGACTACGCCTGCACGTGAGGGGGCGTGTTAGAATATAAATAACTATTCCTGGGCCACAATCACAAGCTTGAGCTTTTGGTTGAGTTGGTTCCTTGACACAAAACAATCCATGTCTTCTTCCTTCTCGCATTTTAGCCAAGCATAAGCTGCCACACGATCCCGTGAAACTTCATTAGCAAACTTACTATGAACATTATCGATGTAAAAATCTGTTCTTAAAATTTAATCTTTGGGGCTTATCAATGATGAAAAGTTAACTTGTTGAAAGTATTTATGCAATAGAGAAAAAAAAGAGGTGACACTTTGTTACCTGGAGATGGTCCTCTGACTTTCTGGTAAAAACTGCAATATTGAGGCGCGATATCTTGAAGGGTGAAGCGTTGTGATTTTGAGATGATCTGTGTTAGATTTGCCAAACGAACCCTCATTTTCTCGTGTGCAAAATCGAAAATGCTCCTTCCATCACCTTCTAAAACTGCTCTAAGTAGCGGTAAAGCTCTTAACTGAGTATCCCTTGGAATTCCCATTTCAGATATTGAAATATAAGAGTTCATCTTCTCATAAACATCTGCGTCCCGTATTAAAGCCCATCTGCACAAGAAGGATCTCGCTTATGCTAAAAGACTAATCTTTGGCATGAAAATCACATAGACAACGAGAGGCATTGATTAATCTGTGGTACCCGAATCGGCTTCCAGCGTGCCCGGTGAGCTTGGAAAGAGTAAAGATCATAACATCTTCATCGGATGGAGCTGGAATCGCAGTGAAATGCGGCCAGTAGTAGGCATGATCATGGATTGTGTTGACGAACGAACCTTGTAGAACTGGCTTTCTCAATAGACCATCTGGATTGTTCGGTGTCGTTACAAGCTCTATCACATTGCTCATCACATTTGAAGAACTCTTCAACAAGTTTGCACCCTCAGCGAATTCAAAGTTCCCATATATTACTGAAGAAGTCCATTTGTTTCTTGTAAAACTACAAGAAGATTGTAATCTGACCATTCAAGAACTAGCAAGCAGATTCTTGAAAAAAAATTAACTAGCCATATATGAAAATAACTAACTCCAAATTATGATCGTCTATTGACGACTAACCGAATAGTAAGGAGCAGAAGCGACTAGATGCACTTCCCGAATGAGTTTTTCAAGCGCTTGTGAAATGTAAGTGTGGTCTGGGAAACTGTAACTCATACGATGCCATCCTGCCACTACCATTGCACTCTTTTGCTGCATTTTGCATCCAATATGGCTCCAAGAATAATGGATCACCACTTCAAATATATGGATATTAGTATTTCAAAACCAGGCATTACTGGTCATATATATGAATTGAAAAAAAATGTGGCGGTAGGTCGGGTACGATGAGTGTGATCATCTTAATGTTTTCATTTCATAATGTAATTGTAAGCAGATAATTAAAGAGAAACCAAATATTACTTGAGAGTAATTATCTATTACGCATTATTCAACTAAATATTTAGCATCACTTGAACATTATTCTCCTCACTAGTCATTATTAAATCCCATGTAAGGAATACAAAAGTTTGAGTCCTACATTGAAAAATGACTTACGTTTTAGTCCTATTCCGTGCAAATATTACGGGAGATGGACCAAAATAGCAGTAAAAGAGATGTCATATCCCAAAATAAGAGTTTAAACTTAAACTCTCCTAAATAGGAGTAATTAACTTAACAATGACTCTAATTTTTTAACTCCAAAAACAATAACTCATGCATCTCCCAAAACTAAACAATGACTAAATACCAAAACTCCTTATTCGTACATGGGCTGAACTTTCAATCCTGGACTTCGGTGCACTGTTCTACGCTGCCTCATGCATGAATTTTCAAATCCTTTGTTTCCAATTAGGACCTCCAATGCCCCTCTTCCATGCAATTTCCTCTTTATTTAATTATTTTTTTAAATTATAAATTTTCATAGTCTTTTACACACTCATACACTCTAAGTCTCAACCTCCAACAACTCTAAGAATTAGAAAATATTCAGCAATGTCAAAAATGTAATTTAGTTTATTTTAACATGTCATCATTTACTTAGAACACTCTAGTGCCTCTTCAACTCTTCCATGGGAACATAATGTTGTAACATAATGACCATGTGAGCATTGCCCTTGCTTTACCAAGTAGCTCCACAAATTGCCGCCCAAATCAATCATATGATTATTAAGAAAAACTTTCCATGTTGCGTGTTGTTAGCAAGAACTCTAGTTCAGTTATCTTGATTAATAGTAAATTGTTATTGAATCATTAACAAAACTAAATCGACAAAAAAATAACAAATTTGAATGTAAAAAAAATTAATTCAATAACAAAACACACCCAAAACTTCATCAACAAAAATGAATCAATAATGTGGTACTCAATCTCCTAGAAATATAATTAGTGTGGTACTCATTTTAAAATAATGTATTACTCATTTGCATACATTGGTTCAATATAATTATAATATACATCTACAAATAATGAAATGTTCATTCTGAAACAAAACAGTACTCATTTTCAAATAAGTCAGTATTTATTCTAATGTAAAATAAAATTCATACCATAAATAATTTCTGAATCGTACCTAGAATTGGATACAAATATACTACCTCAGTCTCAGTGTATTTGTCTAGTTTGACTTTTTCGGTCAAACTGGACAAACTTTGAACTTCAATTGCTCTCAATTTATATTTCATATTAACATAATGAAATACAATTTTGAAAGTTTTCAATACGATAAACTCAATAAAATCATTTTTATGTTACAATATATTATGATTTTTATTTAATTGAACCTTAAAATTTGTCCAGTACTGGACAAATACACTGGAACTACCCCCATAGATCTTCTCAATAGTCCTTTTTCTTTGTCCACAATAGATCTTCTCGTTTCACTTTTTAACAATTAAAATACCACAACTACCCCCACTTCCTTTATTTATTACACCTCACACACCTCATTTAATACACTCCACCCATTTTCATTAAGGGTATTATGGTAAACTTTCACTTTTTTTAACTCTCCTTAAAAACCATCAAAAATCAAAATGAGAACATCTTAAGAGGAGGGAGGGAGTATAATTTGCCTTCTATCACCCCACCAAAGGGCAAAGGCACGAGAAGAGAAAAAAACAAATAGAAAAAGACACGAGACTTTTCGGCACATTGGATTCTTTCTCAAAAGTCCAAACAACGGTCGATCGTGTCGAACTCCGACGTTAACACTTCACCGTATCCCTCCCTCACTGAGAAAAAATACAACGGAATACTCTCTCTCTCTTCTCTCTCTGGAATGCCCTGGAAAGGAAAGGAAAGGAAAGGAAATCCTACTCTGCTTTTGATCTTTTCATAGCATATCCTGCCACTAATTCTTCGCTGTAAAGTGACCACTTTCTCATCCCTCTACTCCCTTGTCCAAAATGGCCGATGAACTCACCCTTCAACCCTCCTCCGCGGCTGAGAACCCGCCGCCGCCGCCGCCTCTACCCGAAGATGAACCGCCTCTCGCTTCTCTGGAGATACCGCCGCCTGCTGCGGTGGAGCAGCAAGACGAAGCTGCTGTTGCTGGCCTTGAGAAAGAGGCATCTCTCGGTTCAGTGCCCCCGCCTTCGGAACCATCTCCCGTTGCAGAGCAGCCGCCGCCCACGGCGGAAGCGGGTGTTGATGGATCGGTGGCGTCCAAGCCCGGTGAAGCAAGAAAGGTGCCTGAATCTCTTGTGTCGTTCAAGGAGGAAAGTAACTTAGTCTCAGATCTCTCCGATTTCCAGAGGAAGGCTCTGGAGGAATTCAAAAACCTCGTCCAAGAAGCGCTTAAAGATCGTGTCTTTAACCCTACCCAAACTCCAAAAACCGAAGAATCTCAATCTGCTTCCTCTGAATCAAAGACCCCATCATCCGAAATCTCGAATTCACCTCAAGAAGTGTCACTCTGGGGAATCCCACTCCTGAAAGATGAGAGGAGCGACGTGATTCTACTCAAATTCCTCAGAGCTCGTGATTTCAAGGCGAAGGAATCATTTTCCATGTTAAAGAACACTATATCCTGGAGGCAAAAATTCAACATTGATGGCATTGTGGATGAGGACCTAGGAGATGATCTAGACAAGGCCGTGTTTATGCACGGACACGACAAGGAGGGTCACCCTGTTTGCTACAATGTGTATGGAGAGTTTCAGAACAAGGAGCTGTATAACAAAACATTCGCGGATGAGGAGAAGAGGTCAAGATTCTTGCGGTGGCGCATTCAGTTCTTGGAGAGGAGTATCAGGAATCTGGATTTCTCTCCTGGTGGAATCAATACTGTTTTTCAGGTTAGTGATCTTAAGAATTCACCAGGACCAGGAAAGCGCGAGCTTCGGATTGCCACTAGGCAGGCCCTGCAGCTGCTTCAAGACAATTATCCCGAGTTTGTGGCAAAGCAGGTCTTTTTTTTATATATATATTTGCAAGCACTATCTGTTGAAGATGTTTTTTTATTTCCTGGAGAGTTGCACAAATTTCGTTTCGTGATATGTTTAATTAATTATATACAAATGTGGAGTCCTGTTATATAATTTTGAAATTGCTTTGCTGGTTGAGTAGCACGAGAACTGAGTAGAAAACAATATACTCTGTATCGAACTATTGGAGAACATGTTTTTTTGGTAAACCATTCTTTAGCCCAAAAAGCATTATTTTCACAAAATCCTGCACAAAATCTCCCTCACCAAAACCCCTGTTGGGATATAAGTAGAATTCAAGTTAGTGCAAAAATGTCTTCCTCTTTCGCCAGATAATCTAGTCTGTTTGCAACACAGCGTCTACTGTTAAGTAGTAATAAGTGTCTGTTTTTAAAGGTAGAAATCTTTAATATAAACAATACAAACACAACACACTGACTTTAGTTGGTTACTTACTATTTGACTGTAATTTCTTTCTTAAAGCGAGATTCAATTTCAAGTTTAGTGTTGAAATAAGTGTATTGTTCGGGGTTATTGAAGGTATTCATCAATGTTCCATGGTGGTATATGATTGTAATAAGTGTGTTTTTATCAATTATTGTAGATAATCATCAATGTTCCGTGGTGGTATATGATTGAAATCAGTGTCTTTTTCTTGATTATTGAAGGTGTTCATCAATGTCCCATGGTGGTATATGGCTTTTTATACGATGATTGGTCCGTTCATGACACAGAGGACCAAAAGCAAGTTTGTATTTGCCAGCCCAGCAAGGACCGCAGAAACCCTTTTCAAGTACGTAACGGTTTAATTTTCTGCTAGTACTCAAATATCAACCGGGATTCTTGTGATGCGTTGGAATAGCCAATAGCTAGAATATAATTTTGTTAAATTGTTCTCAAGCCAGGTACATATCTCCTGAACATGTGCCAATTCAATACGGCGGCCTTAACGTCGATTATTGTGAATGTAACCCAGAGTTTACTGCTGATAACCCAGCTACTGAGATCATTATTAAACCCGCAACAAAGCAAACTGTGGAAATAATTGTGAATGAGGTTCAGTTAGATGCCTTTCCTTCACTTCTTATATTTTTTTTTAGTGTACCATACGATAATTTATTATTGATGATCGATCGCTAATAAAGGGTTTTAATTGGATTTACAGAAGTGTGTCATCGTTTGGGAGCTACGTGTATTGGGGTGGGAGGTAACTTATAGTGCCGAATTTGTGCCAAGCGCCGAAGGTAGCTACACCATAAACATTCAAAAGCCTAGGAAAATGGCACCAACCGATGAACCTGTAGTTTCCAACAGCTTCAAGATAAGTGATCTTGGTAAGATACTTCTCACGATTGACAACCCGACATCAAAGAAGAAGCAACTTCTTTACAGGTTCAAGGATGTTCCTTTCTCCGGTAAGGGTTCTTCCCAACATGAATAATAACCACTTCATGTATCAAGTGCCAACATGAGTTTTACCTGACGAGAATGGTCCTTCCATGTCAATTTGTGGGCCTTTTCTTCCTCTTTCGGTCATGTTCATATCATCAGTGTGTGTTTGAAGAAGATGACAACATGTGGGCACCATGGTTGGTGGAAGATGATTATTTGGAAAAAAACAGGGACATATAGGCTGGCTGAAAGTTGTTTGTGCTACAGTGTGCTTTTGTATGGTCGCATTCTGCTGTTTACTTTGTTTATTAAATGTGTTTTGGGACAATTTGACACTTGTCTATGCTAGTGTATTTCTAGTGTACACTTTGACACTTGTGTATCCTCCCCATAGTTTTGAGTGCTCAATGTACATTGAATATTTTCTAGTGTTATTTTAATTCATTAAGTGGAGCCACACTGTCCTAGCCTTTGGGCATTTCTGGCTGTTAGACTTAATTTTTAATGGTACATATTAATGCTTAAAACTCTAAAAACTAAATGCTACTCTAGAATAATTTTTTCAAAAGGTTAAAGCTAAACGATAAAGTTAGTTCGAAAGTGCCAAACGGATAGTATGGAGTAGTTATTAGGGAAAAATACGCCAAAAACCCAAATTTGCTTCATTTTATATCAATAATTTTGTATTTTGCATTTCTTTGTAACAATCTTATGTTTGCTACAGAATATATGGTAAATTCTCGAGTGAATTTAAAGCCTGGGTAAATTTATTTAATTCATTTAGAGAAATGCTAGAGTCACAAAATACACATATTTGCCATTTGTGCATCTTACCAAGTAAATAAAATGATGTTAAATAATTAAAAAATAAATATTTAAATACACAAATAGCAAGTTTGTGTATTTTGTGATCGAAGTATTTGTGACTCTAGCATTTCTCATTCGTTTATGTGAGATGGTCCATGCATTGTTGTATCGACTTTGAGTTCATGATAGAAGTACTCTTGTTATTTGCATACGCTAACATTCCTTTATTCAAATGAGGATCACATTTGTGGATACAATAGTGTATGATTGACGGGGATCTTTTGACCTCCGGGCATCTAAGGTATAATATTTTCTCTCTTCTAAACAAATTTAATAATATATTTATATGTTTGACTTTTTTTAAAGTCTTTGAAGTATAAAATCTAACATGGAAAAGATATTATTCCTATTTTCAGTATTTTGGCTCTCACAGGCTTCGAACAACTTCAAAGACATGGCGTTGCCACGACAAGGTAAGAGTCAAAGTTGGAGTTGATCTGACATATCCCTATTTCACATGGTCTCATTGGCTTTGAGATATGGAAAATCATTATACGAGTACTATTGACGTGTACCGGCCTCCCGGATACATACACTCCTTCATTCCTCCCCCAATAAATTTATAAAGAAATTAGGATTATGCTATGTGTACCCCAAGTTTTGTACGGGTTAAACATGGGGCGTCAAAACGTGGTTGTGAAACACAACCACATTTTGATTAAAAACAATTTACGTGGTTGTAAACACAGGCACACTTAAAAATAATTGCGTGGTTGTGAACACAGCCACATTTGGTAGCTTTACAAACACGTTTGGACACCACATGTTTACCGATATATTTTTTGGTGTAAGTGTAGCATGGTCCAAGAAATTATCCTAAATATAGATAAAGTATCCCTTTATGTTTTTATTCTCAAAATTGGAATTTTATTGTGTTAATGTGACACTGTATATATACATTTCACAATATTTTTTGGTAATGTATGTGGTCATGATTGACACTGTAAATGCATTTTGACTCTTATTTCAAGAATAAAAACAAGGAACTCCTATTTTGGTATATTTTAAATCCTTTACTTCTAGTTTAGTCTTTTTCCCAAATTTCTATTTTTTTATGATCATTCTAAATTATTGAACACACTTTTTAAAAAAATAAATACTCTTAGTACACATCTTACGGAGTAAAACAATTTTATTTTTATTCTAAATAATTTCAACAAAATATTTTTTTTTGAAATTTTGTAAAATCCATTAGTCCATGTATTATATAACGTTTTTTTTTAATTTTATCACCACTATTATATGTATTACATATCTATCGATACTTTCTCAACTCAATGACATACGGTAAGTCAATATCTCCGCTGAAAATTAGACTTGAGTGAATATCCTTGTGCTGGTCCCAAAGATTTGAGGGTCCTGGACGAGACCAAAAACTTAAATTTTATGAAATATTTTCCTCTAAAGAAATTAACGTTATAAAAATACACATAGCAAAATCATAGGATTCTAAATTTGTTTTGTAATAGCTACCTTAAAGATTAAGTTTTTAAATTTTTATTACAAAAAATACTTCATTTAATATAAAATATATAAAAATAAAAATGTTAGGCCTTCAAAAAAAAGTGAGCCTGGGCCGGGCACCTCGACCCACCCTTGGGTTGGCCCTAGAATATCCCATAAGATTTTGATGAATGTCTTCCTGGCACTCAGACTAAGCGAGAAAACTCCGTGTTAAGTTATTTATAGAAGGGACAAACATACGTAATAAATGCTTTTAGACACTTTTTCCAATAAATGCTTTGAAATTTATAAAAGAATGTTACACTTCTCTGCTTTTCCTTTTAAGAAATGAACATGCTTTTCTTACTCTTTTCTTATCTTCAAAATAAATTTTAATCATAATTTTTTTAATTTCACCAATTGATTGTTAACCATCGTGACGAAGTCAAACTCCTACGTTTTTTAGAGATAGGGGGAGTAGATACTCCGTATAATTAAGCATAGAATAAATCTAAAGAAAGCCCAATCTTTTAAGTTACTATGATCTCATTTTTTGCACAAATTAAAAATGCACCGACAATAACAAGACGCCAGTACCTATTACTCCCTCCGTTCTTCAAAAATTGCTACAGTTTGATTTTTTGGGTCAAATTGGGCTATCTTTTGACCACGAATTAAGTTTAAGTTAAAATTATTTCAAAACTATATTTTAAAATAAACCCAATTCTACTAAATTTAGCTAAATATAATTCTTCTATAATTTGCAGTCAAAGCTGCCACTATTTGACAAAAAAATCAAACTGTCATAATCTTTAACGAAAGAAATGAGTATTTGTGAGTGTCTGCGAAAAATGAGATCATGGTAATACACTAATACTAAACTCACCAGCATAACATGGTTTGGGCAAGACTCTACGACTACTTTATGAACGCTGGCCCATTGGTATGTACCCATTATTTATTGCTTACGGAGTTTAGTCACGATCGACGATATTCATGGCTTTATTGAATACCTATGATTTTGGTTTCTCTTTCTTTTTGAAAGTTTCCCATAGGGATATAGGTTACTTTAAGTTATTCTGTGACAAAGTTAACCGATCATAAATGGGGAGTGCACACCATTAAATAAACTCGTTATTGATGAACTGAAATCTAAAAGAGAATCATACTTGTTTTTGTCAGCATGTACTCGTCAGTCATCCCCAGCCACCTATGAGCAAGATGCAAACATTCATGCATGACATTCATTGTGAGACAAGGGTTTATTGTTAGGTCCAAGATGTTAACTAATCTTTGGACAAAATTAAATCTCATATTTATTAGGAGTTTTACTATGTAAAAACTTCTATTTTGTGGAAGAGAGGTTTATTTTATTTAGACTCCTAGAGTTGCTGTAATTTTTAAGGGTGACATAGAAGATGCTACAACACAATGCTACAACAGACTGTACGGGATCATAAGTCTGTGTAAGAAAATTTAAGTTGCGATCTGTAATTTTTGAAATTATAGTCCTATTAGGAGTTGAAAATACTTCCTAGGAGTTATCTATTAATGGCCAGATGTACGTGTTAAGGAATCTAAAAGCTTTAGGCTACTTGCAGATCAAGATTAAAGAAGTTGTATTCAAGACAACTTCCACAAACCTATTTCTACTAGGATTGGGTTTGGATAGCCTTATAAAAACATCGTAGATTCCTGGGATTTCTTGGAGCAATTGTGTGGGAAAATATGCAGAATCTACACTGATATAGAGCATTCTCATCGCATCGCAGACCCATCATTGCGCGAAGATATTTACGATCCACACAAAGAAGGAGATCTTCAATGACAATCAGATCGTGATGTACAGAAGTTGAAGGTGAGCTGAATCGTGGCTTGCCAACCATGCTTGTCCTTGTGATCTTCATGGAGATGTGATAGCCGAAGCGGATCTGTACATGGTACGAGTTAAAATTATCCTAGATTAGAAATTTCGTCATACCGATTTGAAGAAGTGTGTCCTATCATGTTGTCTTCTATCCGTGTAACTTACATCTAGTGATTTAATGGAGGGCTATTACACGGACGTGGTTCTCGCAGATTAGGAGAGTTTCTCCAAACTGTGTAAACATATCTCGTGTCATTCTTTGCCTTTTATAGTTACAACATTTTATCCAGTAGATTCTGTAACAGCCCCTGCCTTATGTGCTTCTGTGTAAGAGAGTTAGGGGCTATTGGTTGCAAACAATTATGATGATCTGAAAGAGAGTTAGAGCACTTTTTGAAGCAAGATGTAGTTATGATGCTTTTTTTGAGAGAGGCAATTAAATTGCAAAAAGTGATGAAGCTCCAATAGACAATTTAAATGGGAAGCACGTGCATGGACATAAATGGTAGAATTTTTTTATTTTTTCATTTGTAATTATTGTATGCTCTTAAAAAACTTTATTGTTTTTTAAATATGTAGATTTTATTTTTTAACTTAGTAAAATAACTCAAGTATATTAATATAATGTTAGTCAATTGTTATAAAGGTATTACTTTTCTTTTTTTTACCCTAATTAAATTTGGCATATTTTATGTCAAAAAGGGAGAGAAAGGGCTCTCTTCTAAAAAGATGCTTGAACCTTTTATGCGAGTGTGGCATGATGTGTTTTGTCAAAAAATTATCAAAGGGGGAGACATTCATCATGGGACAATTGATGCGTTTTGGGTGTATCTCTGATGCAAAACTTGGTAAAGTTTTATTAGAGGTGCGTTGTATGATTTCACACCCTCTTCCACCAACAAGTTCCTTGGTGTGAAGAATGTACAACAACTGATCTCTGTTGATGAGTCAGTGATGTGGAAGGACGTCACTAATGATATGAAATCTGGTGTGTCTTCAAAGAGCAAAGGACCCTCTTCCATCCTAAAATCTTCATATTTTTTCCTTTTGACAATTTTAGCAAATCATTGGCTTCCCATAACACATGCATGTCAATATTGTGACCAAGACTCTTGGCTTCTTTTTGTACAAGGCCAACCAGTCTCTTCCTATGGACCTGGATAAATTAATCTTTGAGCAGCTTAGTGATTTTGAGAAGAAGAATTTCAAGATAAATGACAATGGGTTCCCTTTCCAACAGGGTGATCCTATTTCCCCTTATCTTTTTATTCTTGGTGCGGAGGGTCCTTCTTGACTTATCCAAGAAATAGTTGATTTGGGTCTCATTTTGGGGTGTCGTGTTATTCGGGGTGAACCGTGTATTGGTCACCTCTTCTTTGAATACGATAGTCTTTTCTTTTTCAAAGCTCTTGTGAGTGAGGCTAATCATATCCCAGAGGCTTTAGATGTCTATGCACCTACCTCTAGAGAACTTATTAATTTTAATAAGTCCATTGTGTGTTTCAGCCCACGCACGATGACTTAGAACCTCAATCAGATTTGTGCATGCCTTCGTGCTCAGGCAGCTCTATATTTGGAAAGATATAAAAATTTTTTGTCTACCCTTGGTCATAACAAGAGGGAGGCTCTTAAGTGTATCAAAGATAAAACTTGGAAGTGTATTTTTCATGAAAGCATAAACTTCTTTCCCAAGAAGGTAAAGAGATTCTCTTAAAATCAGTTTTCTAGGCTATCCCATCTTATGCAATGTCTCTTTAATTTGTTTGCTGCCAAAAACCTTCAATACAAAGCTTGAAAGGATGATGACAAGATTTTGGTGGAGATAAAGCACACATATATCTAATGGGATTCGCTGGTGGAGTTGGGAGCGGATGAGTCGTCATTAATTTTCAGGGGATCTAAACTTTAAGTGAGTACAAAAGTTTAATCTTATTATGCTTGGAAAAATGGCGAGGAAGTTAGTTCGTTGTTCGGACCTCCTTATTTCTCGAGTCTTTGTTAAAATATAACTAACTTTTCCTGGGCCACAACCAAAAGCTTGAGCTTTTGGTTGAATTAGTTCCTTAACATGGTATTGGGGCATTGTTGACTAATAGGTCTCAAGTTCAAAACTCAACGCCACATAGTTTTTTTAAAAAAATTAAAGTTTCGCGTGCAAAGCTCGAAAAAGATTACGTTTGCGCGTGAGGGGGCGTGTTAGAATATAAATACCGTTTCCAAGATAACTTTTTAAAAGCGAGCATTACATCTAACTCTGGTTATATATGGTGGAGCATCATTGAAACTCAATCTATTGTTCGAGGTGGGTGATGGTGGAAGGTGGTAGTAGGCATGGGTATCTGTATTTGGGATGACCCATGGCTGGGATATAAATATTACCCTTGGGTGGCGTCACCCAACCCAAGGAGAGGTGACATCTGCATGGTTTCTAATATCCTTACTAACGGTACTAGGGATTGGCAAAGGATTGATGGAGTTTTTGTGCAGCGTGATTGTGACTTAATCCAAGCTATTCCTTTATCTTCTTTGGGAGGGGAAGATATATTGATTTGGGCTAATAATCAGACTGGTAGGCATTTAGTTAAGAGTACTTATGAGACACTTACTCGGGATGTTAATGTGAATGACACCAATGCCACTCGATAGGTGTGAAAGAAATTTTGGGCAGTCTGAACCATGTTTAATATTCAGAAATTGGTCAGGAGAGTGTCGAATAATATCATCCCTTGTTTGAGTAATTTAGCAACAAGGCAAATTCCAATGCATGATGTGTGCCCTTTTTGCCCTGCTTCGGAGAAGACCGTGTTGCATGTGTTCGTTAGATGTCCTTTTGCCAAGCAGCTTTGGGGTGCGTCGAAGCTAGGCTGGTTTGCACCATCAGTCGACAGCTTGTTAAATTCGTTGCGGGACCAATCATTAGCCTTAGATATCATTCGAGCTATTTGGAGTGCATGCAATGCAATTGTTTGAAGGGGAGAACATTCGTTACCGCTAAGCACGTGGACGAAGGCAAGGTTTAATTTTGCAAATTGGTGGTTAGCAACAGGTTCTAGAGGTAATCCATGCACGCCGGCTGATGTTTCTTAAAAAAGACCTCCAACAGGTTTCTTGAAGGTTTATATTGATGCATCAACGGGTCTTGAAGATGGTGTGGTTGGTTTTGGTTTTTTAGCTAGGGATCCGTGGGATCACAATGGTACTTTTATTGTAGCAAAAAAACATCAAGTTTAGAGGAAGCTGTGGAGCAAGAGAAGTGGGGCGGTAAATGAAGCTTTAACCTGGATCAAGCCAAATATGTGGAAGAAGGTTATCCTTGAGACGAATTGCCAGGAAGTTGGGGAACACATTACTAGTACAACAAGTGATTAGTCTTATTCTAGCTCTATTCTGGATGATTGTAAAATCTCTCTGCTCATTGTAGCAGAAATTTTATTTTTATTTTGTTCCTTGCGGATCTGTTAGTGCAGGCTTCTTATTCATTCCAGAGCTTAGGGGAGTAGGTTGATTCACCCCCGAATTTTATTTCCTGTTCCGTTTAATATTATATATTTTCTTCAAAAAAAATTAATAACGGCATAAATTTTTTTAAAAAAATATTAAATCACACCTTTTGACTGAAATTTCCATCATCTTCGATGGAGCCAAATATTTACTATTTTTTGTTTTGGAGTGATGGAATAAAACAAAAGTACTCTTTAAACTGCCGCGCTTTTTTTAATAGTGAAGTACCAATTATCAATGCAACTCTCGATGCTCATCATGGGTCATCCAATTAAACTGTCGCGCTTGTTTTAAACATAGTGGTCAGGCTTTGTGATTACATGTGGTGCTTGAGTAGGTCTCTTAGAAACAACTTCTCTATTTTTGAGTGATAAATGAAAATAAAAAATCAAAGTTTAATGGAAACCAATAAATTAAAAAATTAATGGAAACTAATAAGTTAAAAAATAACGTTCGAGATGTTAATATAATATTGAAGTAACCCATAATAAGAACCATGCTACACTTACACCAAAAATTGTACCCCATTTGTACCCTGCAATTATACACAAACATTTTGATGGTTTACACCGACACAAGTGTTGGTGCGTTAACAAAAATTTATACAGACATAAAATGTTGGTGCATTAATAAAAATTAGTTTTATGCCAACACAAAATATTGGTGCAAACCTGGGGTACAGAGTGTGGTACAAAAACTTGGAATACAAATAGCTTTATCCCCATAATAATTATGATAAGAGTAAAATAGGAATTTCGAAGGTCATCTAACGGAATTCTTGTCCCTAACGGCCAGTTAGGCGAAAAGTAGCCTGCATAATTTACTTAAAATATTAGATGTTCCGGAGTTATTTTTGAAACGGCCTGGTTCCATGGCCACTGGATTCCAGTGGCCAAGGAAGCCACTGCCCCCCTACGGAGCTCCGTTCATAAAATTGATGATTCCTACCCCCCTAAGCCCCCGGTAAACCCCCTCGCCAAGTCCCAACCCAAACTCATCCCTCCACATACGTCAATTGCACCTCGTAAGCATAATTGACTTTAAAGTCAAAAGTTTTGACTTTATGCTTACGAGGTGCAATTGACGTAGGTGGGAGGATGAGTTTGGGTCGGGACTTGGCGGGGGAGGGGGAGTTACCGGGGGGTTAAGGAGGGTAGGAATCATCAATTTTATGAACGGAGCTCCGTAGGGGGACAGTGGCTTCCGTGGCCACTGGAATCCAGTGGCCATGGAAGAGGCCGTTTTCGAAAATGTGAGACCCCGATCAAGAATTTCTAAAACTATCAAGTATCAACTATGTAAATATCAATGTTACTTTTCTGGGAGGGTTAACAAAGTAGTAGTATAATCCATGAATTCTCAGTCTTTTCCATTACATATAAGAGCAATACAAAGTACAAACAGTCCAACAGCAACAAATCTTCATATAAAAAATCCAAACAAGTATTGAACAAATAATCCAAAACCTTAGCTAAGTTTCATATGCAACACGAGAAAACAATGAACAAAATCTATAACCACGAGAAAACAATGAACAAAATCTATAAATGAACAAAACTAGAGCTTCTTAATCTGCACTGCAGTTCCACTGCTAATGAACTTGAAGCCACAATGAATATCATCACAACGTAAGTATAGTATTCGATCAATCATCAGGCTTGCTTGGTCTTGGACCGATAGAGAAGCTTCTTCCTCTTAGAAGTTTGGTTTTCGAATATAAGAACAACCTTCCCTGCACACTCCGTGTTGTATGTGTTGCTGAGTATTGTCTCATCAACCGGTCCGATTTTTCGCGGTTTTTCTATAATTATGGTGTAGGCACCTTCGGCAGCCGGGACAAACTCAGCGCCATAGGAGACATCCCAACCTATCACTCTCACCTCCCAAGCCAATGTGCTTTTCTGTCAAACCAAACAAAACTTAAGCTTTTGGTTGAGTTGATTTCTTAACATGGTTTCAAAACATTATTAACATAGAGGGCACAAATTTGAATCTCACTGCCACTCCAATATAAAGCATTTTTTGGGCACCAAACCACAGTCCACACTTGAGCTTTTAGTTGAGTTGATTTCTTAAAATGGTTTCAGAACATTATTAACATAGAGGGCACAAATTTGAATCTCACTGCCACTCCAGCATAAAGCATTTTCTAGGCATCCAACCACAGACTTGAGCTTTTGGTTGAGTTGGTTCCTTGACAGATTACAACAGATATTGTATATATTTTCGCCTACTGGCTATTATAATGTTGCTTACCTCGGCAACGGGCAACTCGATCACGTGCTTGGAAGTTGGTTTTATGGCATCCTCAATTGCAGGGTCAAGGGTGGTGAACTCATAATCGCCCTCCCTGCTAAGGCCACCATACTGAACAGGCAATTGCTCTGGGGCTATGTATCTGATTTTTCACCATTACGACACATATTAGAAGGCCAATCAAGAAACAATAAACCATAAGAAGCATAAACAGAAAATTATAGAGGCTGGACCAACTTGAAGAGTGTCTCTGCAGATCTGGAAGGGCTTGTGAACACAAACTTGCTCTTGGTCCTTGTGGTAAAAAGGACATTGATCATCTTATAGTAAGCCGGGTACCACCAAGGAACATTAATGAACACCTTCACAGACAAAACCAAATCCAATTAATGTTAAACCACATCAAAAGTCCAAAATTATTTGGCATGACAACAAAACGAACAACCTTTTTTCCAACATATCAAAACCATACCAAGAATCCACTTCTATGAAACATTTTGAAAACCAAGGGAAGATAAATAGTGTACCTGCTTTGCTACAAATTCAGGGTAATTGTCTTGGAGGAGCTGTAAGGCCTGGTTGGTGGCATTGCGGAGCTCTTTCTTGAAGAAGAAAAGCCCGGGAGAGTTCTTGAGATCGATCACCTGAAGAAAGGTGTTGATTCCATCTGGGGAGAAATCGAGATTCCTGATAGATTTCTCCATGAACTGAATCCTCCATTTCAGGAACCTGTCAAGCTTCTCCTTGTCAGCGAATGTGCTCTGGTACAGCTCCTTGTCCTGAAACTCCGCGAAGGAGTTGTAGCAGACGGGGTGGCCTTCCCTGTCTGCCCCGTGAACGAAGACCACCTTGTCTAGCCCCTGGCCCAACTCTTTGTCCTCCAAAAGCTCGTCCGATTTGAACTGGGTTCGCCACGCAATGACGCTCTTGAGCATGGCGAAGGCGTCTTTCGCCTTGAATTCGCGAGCCCTGAGAAATTTGAGGAGGATCGCATCGCTGCGCTCGTCCTCCAGAAGGGGAATTCCCCAAATTGAAACCACTTCTGGTTCCAGAAGAGGGGGAATTTCCCCTAATTCCCCCTCCCATTCAGTATTGGCGGGGTTTTTGATTCCCTCCCCGGGGTTTTCAGCCGTTTCCTCCCCCGCCTGGGGCTCTTCTTCTTTCTTCTCATCGGGCTTCGATCCCTCTTGGGGTTTTTTGTCCTCTTCCTTAACCGGAGCGGGTGAGAGCTTAGGGGTGAATTCATGGGTGTTCAGAGCCTCCCGAACCATCTGCTTCAACTCATCCAGCGCCTTCTTTTCCGGGATCGGAAGCTCCTCCGCCTTGTTGTTCTCCTCCTTCATCGATGACGAATCGGCCGCCGCCGCCTCCTTCTCGGCGCCTGCGAACTCTTTTGCCGCCTCAGGCGTCGCCTCCGGGGCCGGATCCATAGTTTCTTCCGCCATGAAAGCTTGCAGACGCACCTTGAAATTGAAATCAATGGAGAAAATGAAATGCCAGAAAAGGGTGTGCGGAAGAGGGGGAAGAAGAGGGAAAGGGTTTTAGAGGCGTGGGAATGGTGGGGCCCATGAAAACAGACTGTATAGAGGGAGCTGCCAGCTCGTTGTGCGCTTTGAAAGTGCAGTGGGTCCCACGACCACCTCGTCCCGCTATTGCCGCTAATTTCGACTGATTTTGGAATTTATTTTTTTCCTTTAAAAGCTGTGCGTCATCTCTGTCACCCCTATTTGTTTTGTGTATTTTTGGTAGTAACATATTTATTGCCCTACTTGAATTTATTCTTTCCCTTTTTAGTTGTTGTCGTTTCCTTTTTTATGTTTGGCCAAGTTCGATTCATTTTATCTGTTTTATTGTGATTTGTTTTGATTTTTTTAATATAAGTTCTAATCTAAATATTGTATTATATGAAGTTATCTCTGGTCTAGTCTGATTTGATTCCAATCAAAATAAATAACAGAAATCATCATAAATAAGACTAAAACATAAAGAAAAATATCAAAATAGGACTTTTATATTTTTTTCTCAAAATAGGACTTTGCACTCTGGTAACGTGACACCGTAAATGTGCACATTACTATATTTTTTTGGTAATGTATATGACCATGTTTGGTAATGTAAGTCTTATTTCGTGAATAAAAACAATGAAATCTTAATTTGGTATATTTTCAATGTTTTAGTTCTATTTTGGTTTTTCTCTCAATAAATAATAAGTGAAAAAATAAATTGAAGAGAGCATGATCTACCTCTCGAAGTTTTTTTATCACAATGCCCTGTAAATGTTTCGTATTTGGTGGACTACCCTATAAAAGTGAATTGACGGAAATGTCCAGGAGTGTATGAGCGACGCGCTTCTTAGAAAATGAAAAGGTATGCCACTTAACGAAGCGTAAACGGCATTTCAAGTTTAAATTTAATAAAAAAATCCGAGAATTGGCGAAACGACGTCGGAAGAGACTAAACAAAAACCCTCCAAAAACATCTTCCTTCATCGTGCAACCATTGAGTTTTCGATCTCTGTGTGATCTATCCCCCCTCTTCGACACCTGCAAAAGTTGATCGAAACCCTACCCATCTAGAGTCACCGATCTCGGAAAACCTTGAATTTCTACAATGAGGACGAAAAATGCTTCTGTGTCTTACTCCAAGAATGGAAACGATGAGTATCATGCGGAAGAGACGATGATAGAGCATAGCAGAAGTCCAAAGGCCACACAAGGAACATTCAAGGTCAGAAACTTGATTATAAATGAATTATTCTCTCTCCTAATAACCACTGGACAATGGTTTATGAATTTTTGGTCTGGTCGACTACATCGATCGACTAAAATTAGTGTCGACGAACTTGTCGCACTAATTGGATGTCATTCCGTATGAAATTCGTTGACATTATATGCCGTTATATAGGATCCGGCGATCAAGACGAAGGTAAATGTAAAGGACTTTCCACATATGAAGCTGATTGTGAAGTCTTCACTGCAAGTCTTCCAAAAATTGATGAAAGAAAAGTTATGCGATCATATGGAAATCCTAGAAGTGTTTAGGAGAGATTCTCCTTTTGGTGCTTTCCTTGATGTCCATGTTATGGCAGTTGATGGTTAGGGAGGCTAATGTGAAAGGAGAAAAAGATTCTGAAATGTGGTTTGTAGTAAATGAAGTTCCCATTAGATAATCTCTAATGGAATTTTTCTTGATTAGTGGACTTAAATGTTCAAAACTAGCATCCGGATACGAAGAGAAGTATGATAAGGATTCACTGCGTGTTTTCGTTGAAGAAAACTGGTCAAAAAGTGTGGTATGTTACACCTCTATTGTCGAGAGATTCTCAAAATTGTGCTGGCTACTTGACGAGGAAGGGAAGAAAGAGTATGCACTCGAGTGGATAATGAAGGTGGCGACATTGATGTTTGTTGTCCTCGTTTTGATTGGTCATGCTAAGAAAGATGCGTCAGTTCCAAAATGGATCCTTGCCAAAGTTGCAAACTCTGATGACTCCATGTCTTTTTCATGGGGGACATGGGCATTCTTGGAGTCCCTCCGTATCCAATCTTTCGGGAAGGACTTAGTGTCAGAAAAGAAGAAGCTTGTTAAAGGCGGGAAAACATCCAACACCCTCCGCTACACTGGCTTTGTCCTCCCCTTATCCGTGAGTAAATTAATTTAAATTGGTATTAAAAGTTCCTACAATTTCATTGGTTAAATTGGGCTTCATTTATTGGTGCATGCAGTTTCTCCTATTTGAGTGTATTACTAATTTTGGAGAGACATTTGGAGTGAAGAGGGAGCAAACAAATCCAGCATTTCCGAGAATGTGTCTCTGGAAAAATAATATTTCAAAAAAGCCGTCGCACGAAGCCATTATCAATGCACTTAACGCTGCCAAGGTAAGTTTTAATCTTTAAAGTGATGGTCGACTTAAGGTGAACTGAAAGATCTTTAAAGAGAGGGTCGACTTAAGTTCTACAATTCAAAGTGAAGGTCAGCTTCATGATCTACAATCATTTTATAAAAATGCTTTTTCTTTTGTAGAGTGTAAGGAGCATTCTTCTTCCAGAGGGAAGTGAAATACGTGCTTCTTGGATCACCAGTCTGACCTCCTTGCCTTGTGTTTCCAATCCAACTCTTGGAGAATTTGTAAGGGGACTCCAAGGTGGTGACAAACATATACAATTATGCATGAAAAAACAACTTCTCTCTTTTTTGAAATGTCTGTAAGTTTTTTCTGAAACTATGTTTTAAACTAAAAAATATTTGTGTTTGAAATATAATACTCCCTTCGTCCACCTAAAATCTTCCCATTACGTGTTACGAGGCTTGACCGACTTTATTTTCAATTCAATTTAATTGATTATAGGAGTAAAATTTTAAAATGAAATTTATATAGTAATAAACTATATGAAAAGTTCTACAAAACTAGAGGTGACAAGACTATATTATTTTACGAAATGACTAGTAAAAATGAGCAAACAAAGTGAGTAAAGTTTGACCATGTGAATAGTGTCCGGGAAGATCTATGGTGGACAGAGGGAGTACGAAATAAAAAAAATAACATATACTTTGTTTGTCTGAAAAGAAATATTTTCATTATTTGTATAAATTTTGTTTTTATTTTTTAAATTAGTTTTGGACCAAAAGAATATAGAGTAAGCTCTTATTTCAGACCAATGTCTAACAAGATTTCCTTTATGTTTTAAATTTTTCTTTTTCTTTGAAAGTAACATTTTATATACTTTTGTTCTTCTTCATTTTATTTTCTACTATTTTCAATTTTTATTTGGGTTAAAAAATGTTATAAATTTAGTTTTAAAAATTAAAAAGAGAAACAAAAATTATTTAAAAAAGAAACCAAAAATGAACAAAATGAGAAATGAGCTTCACTGCAAAAAAGAGAAAATGCTTCATTGATTTTTGTTTCATGAAAATGAACCAATAAAGACCTTTTTTCATTAAATTTTTTATTTCAAATACAAAAAAAATATAATTTTAAAGCATTATAAAATTAGTTTTAAAAAAGCGTTAAAAAATTCTTGTGAAAAAAGAAGAAAAAATAAAAATAATAAGGGAAAAAAAGAAAGGTGTTAGTGCTCATTTCCGAATGCATAGGGGACAACAAAGCTATATTCACCTATGATTGAATAATATTTTAGTCTAGATGAGCATTGACGCAGAAATATCAAAAAAATGAGGGACAACGAAGTAAGTTTTAAAACTACAGGGTAACAATACACATTTATCAAACCTGATGGAAAATATTATTTTGCCCGAACATCTCGTTCCGAATTTCTTAATAAATATTACCATTATTATCATAATCAATTACTCTTCACAAATTACCGTCACCATTAATTCCCTACCATAATCACTCACACCATTTTTTCCCTACCATAACAAGGGAGAAAGATTAAAGTATAACTAAAACATTGAAAATATACCAAAATAGGACTTCCACGTTTTTATTCCAGAAATAAGACTTACATTACCAAACATAGTCATGTACATTACCAAAAAAGTATAGTAATGTGCATATGTACAGTGCCACATTACAACATTCCAAAGTCTTATTTTGAGAAAAAACATGAAATTCCTATTTTAGTACTTTTCTCTATGTTTTAGTCCTATTTAGGGTGATTTCTACCATAACAACCTCCACCATTCGTTCCTCTCCAAAAATACCTCCACCATTACCTTCCACTCCGCATAACTACTCCTCCATCTCTCACTATAAAAATAATGATCTTTCACCTTTATGGGGGAGGCCAAGCTCACAAAACTATATTCTCTCTCTCTCTCTCTCTCTAGTAAAGAAATAAACGTTGTCCTCTCGGGTATTCTTTTCTTCTTTATAGAGCTAAAAAGCTTCATTCATGACTAAAAAGTCAATATTATCTATAATGTACAAATCCCCGATATTAATAACATCTCTTCGTTGGCATGGTACCCCTGGAAAAGGCCCGTGGTTTCTCTCGATTTAAGTTTCCACATCAAAAATAGCTTGTTCGTATTTTTTGTTATTGTTAAGCTCATTTATCATTTTAACATAGTAAAAATGATAAAATCGATCAAAACAGTTAACACCATCAAAATCGAGGGGTAATGGTGCAATAAACTCTGTAGATAAAGTATTAAAATAGGATCCAGAGTTCTATGTTTTAAACTCAAAATAAGACTACCGACATGTGATAATTTGACACTGTATATTGGTATTCTATAACTATTTTTGGTAATATATATCGAAACCATAACTTCTATTTTAAGGATAAAAACATGGAGTACTTGTAGTTTCTAATTTTCTATTACATACTCGAGACTCGTGAGGCTTAGAGAAGAGCAGAAGGGCCGAACTAGTTAGACTAAACAGGCCTTTTGAAAGGTCGCTATTAAATAAGACTAGACAGACTATGTTTCTTGGTCTTCTGAAAAAACATACTCCCTCCGTCCCCAATTTGATTACAAATTGCGGGTTACGGAGTAAAATTTCCTACTTTTTGAAATCATTTTATTTACAAATTGGTATATCAATAAGGTATAAAAATTACATATTAAAAAACTACGTCAAAAGTTCTACAAAACAAGAGGTGACAAGAATATTTTATTTTATCAAATACTTGATGAAATCGCGTAAACAAACAAAAGTTATCGAGAGGAGAGAGAAAAAAAGATTGTAATCTATTTAGGGACGGAGGGAGTATGCCTAATGATCTAACATTATGTGTCTAAGACTATTATAAAATATTAGGAGAATATGATGTCATCGTGGCAAGATTGACAATATATCTAAGTTAGGATTTTATGAAGTGTTGAGTACTTTAGAAGTTAAATAACTTAAATAGTTTAAAGCTTTTAACATCAAGCTAAGCGAGTAACATATCTTTTTGGTTTTTAAAGACTTATTTAAATAAAAAGGTAATACTAATCAACTGCTATATACTCCCTCCGTCCCCCTAAGAGCATCTCCAACCATATAATTTTAACTTGCTAAAAGTTATAATATAACTAGTTAAACACTTTTGTTCTTCTCCAAAGGGCATGCTTTATTTTAACAAATTTGCCAAAAAATGAATTCGGTTTGCTAAATATGACAAGTCCCTCAAATTTTAGCTAGCCAATACTTAAAAAATGAAATAACAAATAATGGTTGGAGAATGAAGCAAAAAAGTGCTTGCTATATCACTTTTCACTTACTATAATGTAAAAATAGCAAATCCATATAACAAGCATGGTTGGAGATGCTCTAAGATGTTCTCATTTTGACTTTTGGTGGTTTTTAAAGAGAGTTGAAAAAAGGTGAAAATTTACTATAATATCCTTGATGAAAATGGGTGGAGTGTATTAAATGAAGTGGGTGAGGTGTAATAAATTAAGTAAGTGGGGGTAGTTGTGGTATTTTAATTGTTAAAAGATGAAATGAAAAGATCTATTGTGGACAGAGAAAAAGGGCTATTGAGAAGATTTATGGCGGACTGAGGGAGTACTAATTATCAAAATATCAAATATGAATATTTGGAGTTGTCTTTTTGTCCTTAGGAAGTATTCCTAAGTCTCAAATATCTAATAGCGATATTGCAGTGTGCTACTCCGTTTTCATGTACATGAGAAGTATAGTAATATAAATAGTTAGTACTTTTTTATTTTCTTAAAGTAGTTTTTCGATGATATATATTTTGGACCGATTCTAGTCTTTGGATCGGTCATTTACCAACCTTGGATAGCCCAAGTCCTGTATTGGTCTTTCACTTGTCCTAATCGTCCTTACAATTAAAAAACTATTTGAGATGTCAGTCTTGGACTGAACTAGTCTCAAGGGTCGTGTTTGGAAAATAGCTTTTCAAATATCTTTTGATATCTTTGTCTGACTTTGGGTTTTTTGACTAAACGAACAGCCAAAACCATTATTTGGCTAATGACTTTTTCACTTGGTATTTTGATCTGAAAAGCCAAGATCTGAAAAGCCAAGGAGAGTAGCTTTTGTACTTGCCTATTAGAAAAATTAATTTTTTTCATTTTTCTTGAAAGATATTCTATAATATATGTAAAAAAAATTAAATTAAAAGTTAAAAAAATTCAAAACAAAAAAAATAAAATTTCAAAATTATAAATTTCAAAAAAAAAAAGATGAGAAAATAAAAAGTAAAAGTCATTAAAAAGTTGTATATCAATAATTTCTTATGAATTAAATGAAAGTAAAATTTAATACTCCATATAGTAAAGATTTTATTTTGACAAGTAAAGAAATGAAAACAAATATCCTGTGTGTATATATATATATATATTGATGGGTGTATTTCACCCATGACCGGTCAAGGGTCCAAATCAGAAAGTTGACCGGTCAAAGAAGTCGAACTCGAAAGGGAGATCTGGATCGTCAGCAAAGTGATGGCTGGTTGACCGGAAAGTTGACCGGTACACTTCGGGTTAATATACCGGTCAAACTACTCCATCGCCTAAATTCATCCTCCGAAGTTAGCCAAACCAACCCTCAAGGATCACCCGGTCTAGTTTCCGAATATCGGAGAGCGTCGGCAGGAAGAATCCAAAAGAGGCTTGGACTGTAGTGGTTGGCGTTGCGGAGATGCTGAGGGAATATTTCCGAACCAGCACGCGACAAAGGCGCAGCCCCCCACGCAAGATGACAAGGCAGTACAGGACCAGTCACCTCGCAGCACATCAGCAGCGTGCCTCCACGTGGGCGCACGTGGCCTTGTCCCCCCTTTAGCCTAGTATAAATACTCATGTAAACCTCAGAAAGAGGGATCCGAATTCACTCTCTCTAAACTCCCTTGTAAAAGTGACCGTGCATTCCCTATTTTAATACAATTCGGGCTACAGGTGTTCCACCTAAAGTCCTACCGGTCATTTTGGGTGTTTTTACTTTCTTGACTTTACTGAATTAAGCCAACTATTCTAGACCCGGTCTAGTATAGTTTGACCGGTCAAGTAATTTACACCATCATTTTTGGCGCCGCCCGTGGGGCCGTTAAGGTTTCTTCTCTTCTAAACACAAACCTACCCACAAAAGCACCACTCAAAATGTCTTCTAGTCAGCAGATCAACGCCACCTCTGCTCAGGTGCAAGCCACAGCTAAAGGTACCAGCATCCCCATGGCTGTTACCATGCCGACTGTTTCTGCTCCGGTTTTGCCGTTGGGACCAAGCTCGGTCCCAACACCCAGCATGGTAAGCCCATTCACGGCCCCCGTCCCTTCCGCTGGACCGAGGGTCACTTTCCCACCAAGCATGACTCAGTTCATGAATGACCCAGCCAACCTGCAGGCCATCCAAGGCTTTGGTCAGGTCATGGCTATGTGCCAACAGAATGGGGGGATGCCTTTCCTCCCTGGTATGTTTCCGTTCGCTCTTTCAGGCGCAGGAACCATGCCCCTACAAGCTCGAATGGCAGTGTCTCCCTTCCAAACGCCAGTTCCGCAACCATCACCTTTCCAGCCACAGCTAGTCAGCGCTGTGGCCCCCATCAACTTGGCAGGTGCGCTTAACGCCGCGGGGCCGTCGCGTCCCCTGCCAGGTATGAACCCGCTAGTCACTCCGGATGGTCACTGCGTCTCAGTTGAAAGCAGAGACGATGAGTGGGACATTCCAAGGACCCACAAGAAGAAGAAGGGAAAGACCATACGCCCTGCAACTTCCTGAAACTCCGCCTTCGAAAGGCTGGGGGATAGGGAAGAGGGCCAGAGGAAGTCAGCCAAGCAGAGGCTGGGGCAAAGCGTTGCCCATGTCAGCGCGTTTGCCCGATTAGGTGAGGTGAGGGAGGCCGAGCCTGCCCGCACCCAACACTCCTGGTCAAACCGGCAGGAGCCAGCCAGGACGAGGGCCTCTCGCCAGGAGGAGGAGGCAGAAAGCCAACCCAGGGTACCGGTGGCTAACCGGTTAAACATCCCCAATGATCGCGTCCAGCAGATGGAGGCAAAATTGGAAAGACTGGAGAAGAAGGTCGGGGAGAAGAATGACCGGGACAAGCCCCTCGCAGGGTCCCCGTTCACCACAAGGGTCCATCTGACACCTTTCCCGCGAAAGGTCAAGATAGACGCCCCAAGATTCACCGGGAAGGAAGATCCAGAAATTCACCTGGACTCCTTCAATCAGAGTGCAACCATGAACGGTTGTACAGACGAAGAAAAGTGCCTCCTTTTCTTCCAAACTTTGCGAAATCGAGCTACTGAATGGTTCAACAAGCTTCGCCCAGAAAGCATTGACTCATTCAGTGACTTGGCCTCAAAGTTCAAGGCCAAGTTCTAGGAGAACTGTACTAAGAGGAAGAAGTTCACTTATCTTAGTACAGCCCGGCAGAGGGAATCCGAGAACCTTACCCAATTCCTTACCTGGTGGAAGGAAGAGGTAGACAAGGTGGAAGAGATGGATGACAAAACCGTCTTATCTCTCCTCTTGAGTGGCTTACGTGCCGGGGAACTATACAAGGAGTTCTGCCGGAAACCCCCGGCCACGTACCAAGAGGCCTATCACACTGCATGGGAGTTTGCTGAGGCTGAAACTCAACTCCGGGCGAAGAAGGAAGCCGAACATGGGTTCAAGCCCAAGCCGGTGNTTCAAGGCCAAGTTCCAGGAGAACTGTACTAAGAGGAAGAAGTTCACTTATCTTAGTACAGCCGGGCAGAGGGAATCCGAGAACCTTACCCAATTCCTTACCCGGTGGAAGGAAGAGGTAGACAAGGTGGAAGAGATGGATGACAAAACCGTCTTATCTCTCCTCTTGAGTGGCTTACGTGCCGGGGAACTATACAAGGAGTTCTGCCGGAAACCCCCGGCCACGTACCAAGAGGCCTATCACACTGCATGGGAGTTTGCTGAGGCTGAAACTCAACTCCGGGCGAAGAAGGAAGCCGAACATGGGTTCAAGCCCAAGCCGGTGCAGGTCAAAAAAGAAGAAGCGCCCGTAACCAGCCAGCCAATGCACCATTATGACCCGGTCGTCCGCGTGGTCAACACAGAAGAGTGCCAGGAGGTAAGGAAAGCACCGGCTCCCTACCCGGTCATTCCTCCGGAAAATCCTACTGGTCAAACTGGACGGCAATGGTCGGGCACGTATTGTTCGTACCATCGGTCAGATTCCCATAACACTTCCGAGTGCAAGAGTGTTAAGGGAGTCATCCGGCAAATGATAGACAGCGGAGAACTGGGCAAAGATTATTTGCAGAAAGCCCAGGAGAAGAGTCATCAATGGGTTAGGCCAGCTATCCCGGAGGATGACCGGGACAACGACCGACGGAGGAATAACCGGCCGAAGGAGCGGCAACCTGCCCCTGAAAAGGAACACATCGGCATGATCTTCGGCGGACCTGAGGGTGGAGACTCAGCCGCGCAACGGAAGAATTGGGTTCGCAGCATTTACGTTGGTGAGGTAAGCGCTGAACCGCCCAGGCGTAAACATACTAGGAGGGAGCCGATCGTCTTCACTGACCGGGATCTCCCTCCTACCGGTGAAGATCACAATGATCCATTGGTCATCACCATGGACATTAATGGGGTGGATGTCGCCCGAGTACTTGTTGACACCGGCAGCAGTGTCAACATCTTATACCTGGAGACTTTCCAAAAACTCAGGTTGTGTCGGACACAACTTGAGCCCCTCAAAACCCCTCTATCAGGTTTCACGGGAGATACAGTGGAGGCTGAAGGGTCCATAGTCCTACTGGTCGAACTAGGATCGGGCGAAAAAACCGTATGGAAGAAGATGCGGTTCATAGTTGTGGACATCAAATGCGTCCACAACGCAATCCTTGGAAGGCCGGGTATCAATAAGGTCGGGGCGGTAATTTCCATGCCTCACCTGTGCATGAAGTTCCACACTCCAGGTGGTGTGGGTGAGGTGAAAGGCGACCAGAGGAACGCCTGGGAGTGCTATGCCCGGGCAGTCAAGAAGATGACCAGGGGGGTCAATGTCATCTCCCAAGAGATCACAAAGGGAGAGACCTGGGAGAAATTGGAGCCCGAGGCCGAGACGGTGGAAATCGAACTTCACCCGGGTGATTCTTCGAGGATGGTCAGAATTGGAGCGAATCTCCCCGAAGATCTCAAGGCAGAGATTACACGGGTCCTCCAAGAGTACGCGGGCATATTCGCATGGAGCGTGGCGGATATGCCCGGAATAGACTGCTCTGTTATCTGCCACCGGTTGGCCGTGAGGGAAGGAAGTCGACCGGTACGTCAGAAGAAGCGGTACCTGGCCAGTGACCGGCGAGACTTCGTCAAGAAGGAAGTGAAGGACCTCCTTAGTGTTGGTCACATCCGGGAAGTCAAATACCCGGATTGGCTGGCCAACGTTGTCCTTGCTCCCAAAGGCGACACATGGAGAATGTGTGTGGATTATACGGACTTGAACAAGGCGTGTCCGATGGATTCATACCCCCTCCCCAGTCCAGATCAAATGGTGGACGAAACTGCGGGGTGCGAACTCCTAAGTTTCATGGATGCTTTCAAGGGCTACCACCAGATATACATGGCCAAGGAGGATGAAGAGAAGACGTCATTCCTCACACCCGAAGGAACCTACTTTTACCGGGTAATGGCGTTTGGCTTGAAGAATTCGGGGGCAACCTACCAGCGCATGGTGAACAAGATCTTCAAGCCACTGCTGGGAAAGACCATGGAGGCATACGTCGACGACATGCTAATCAAAAGCCAGGTATCTCTCAATCACCCGGCTGATATGCGCGCCACATTCGATATCATGGCAAGATACAACCTCCGGTTGAATCCCAAGAAGTGTGTCTTCGCGGTTCGTACCGGGAAGTTCTTGGGGTTTATGGTGACAAAGAGAGGAATAGAGCCCAACCCAGAAAAAATCCGGGCTATCACTGAAATGCAGGCCCCCACATCTGTGAGGGATGTCCAAAAGTTGACCGGTCGTCTAGCAGCACTCAGCCGGTTCCTTTCCCGGTCGGCTGAGAGGTCCCTGCCTTTCTTCAAAGTTCTGAAGAAGGCCAACACTTTTGCATGGGACGAAGAGTGCCAGAGGGCATTCGACGAGCTGAAAGAGTACCTAGTGTCAGATATTGTATTGTCTAAACCCCAGCCGGGTGAAACTCTGTATCTATACCTGGGAATTTCCCCAAATGCTGTAAGCTCTGTTTTAATAAGAGATGATGGGGCACAAAAGCCTATTTATTATGTGAGCAAAGCACTAAACAGAGCTGAAAGTAGATACACAGCAATGGAGAAAACAGCCTACGCGCTTTTCATCTCTGCAAAAAAGTTAACATCCTACTTCCAAGCTCACCCGGTAGAAGTCTTGACTGACCAACCGCTGGGTGCAGTGTTGCGAAATTCAACATCCTCCGGGAGGATGGTAAAGTGGGCCATGATGTTAACTCAATTCAACATTGAGTACCGGCCAAGGTCAGCAATCAAAGGACAGGCCCTTGCAGATTTCTTGGTAGAAATGACCGGTCTAACTCCAGACCTACCAGTCAACAAACCTGCCGAACAATGGTGGGAGATGGCAGTAGATGGGGCATCTGGCCCTAAGGGGTACGGGGGTGGTGTAGTGTTTACCACCCCAGAGGGTTTCAAGATCTACCATGCAATCGTTTTCAACTTCAAGCTGACGAACAATGAAGCAGAATATGAAGCTCTAGCTGAAGGGCTCAGACTTGCCCAAGCCCTGAAGATCAACCAGGTCAGTATCAAATCTGACTCCAGTCTGATTGTTGGGCAAGTAACCGGCAACATGGAAGCCAGAGAAGGACGAATGGCGCAATACAAGGACCTGGTACTTGCCTTGTTGAAAAGCTTCGAGGAATTCAAGATCGCCCAAATCCCCCGGGCGGAAAACGCAGATGCAGACCTTCTCTCCAAATTGACGCAATATGCTCCCGAGCATGTTTCAAAACTTGCCCGGGTGGAAATCCTGGACCGTGCCAGCATCGAAAAATTGGAAGTCGCCGCCATAACAGCAGCAGGCCAATCTGACCGGTCAAACCTGATCGGGGCAGATGACGACTGGATGTATGACCTGATGGAATACCTTATGGACGGAACCTTGCCAGAACAAGAAGACCGGGCAAGAAAGGTGAAGCTCAGGGCACCCCGGTTCCAAGTCCTTGATGGGAAGCTGTACAAAAGGGCATTTGGGGGGCCACCCCTGAGGTGCCTAACCAACCGGGAAGCTGAGCGAGTCATTGCAGAAGTTCATGAAGGGGTATGCGCGGCACACCAAATGTCCCGTACCCTTTCCCAGCGCATCATCTTGTTGGGGTATTACTGGCCAACAATTGTCCAGGATTGCAAGAGGTACGTCTAGAAGTGCAGAACATGCCAAGTATTCTACAAGTATCCCGGTAGACCGGCTTCCTACTATCACCCCGTATCGAATGTCATCCCTTTCGCTAGATTCGGGGTGGATATCATTGGAGCATTCCCGATAGCCCAGGGGAGAAAGAAGTTTGTAATCGTAGCCATCGATTACTTCACCAAATGGATAGAGGCCGAAGCGTTGGCCAACATCACCACGCAACAATGCAAAAAATTCATTTGGAAAAACATCATCACAAGAGTTGGCATGAACTACCAAAGATATTTGAACAACTATTTTCAAATATCTAATTTTACCAAACATTTTTAACGATCAGCCAACTCATTCCATGAGCTAAACTATGTAGTCATTCACAAGAGTTGACATGAACTACCAAAGGCAAGGCCAACCTCCAAACAAGACCAAGGACTAAGGTTTCGTTCCGTTCAACTTATTTTTTCTGATCTGATCTGATTTTTTGTAGTTTTAATCTGATTTAATTGGATCTGATCTGATCTGATGTGATTAGATCTGATCTAATATGATTAGATCTGACCTGATCCGATTAGATTTGATCTGGTCTGATCTAATTTTAATAAGAATAATACAAAGTAAAAAAGTAGAAAAAATAAGTTGAACAGAAGAGGCTGGACCTAATTCGGTCCGGATGGGTCTTTGGGATCTCAAACTTTTTGCTCTTCTTGCGGGTCACCTCTGTTAGGATCAAATCAAGAACACTCACAGAAATCCGATGAAGAAGGTGAAGAAAAAACGAGAGAGTAAAAGTAGAGAGAAAGTGAAACACGTGAAATAACGTGGTAACACCCCGTGAGTAAACTTCCACGGCGGCTAGATGTGTTTATTGATGATTTCAGGCAGATACAATTACAGAGAATTTGACTCTTGCCTCTCTACAAAAATTAGCTACAAAGGAGAATATATATAGGCATTACAACCTCTACTTACTTAACCATTAAGAAAACTTAGTCATTAAGCAAACTTAGCCATTAAGTAAACTTAACCATTAAGAAAGCTTAGCCATTAAGTAAACTTTGCCATTAAGTAAACTTAACCATTAAGCAAACTTAATCATTAAGCATCAGGCTCCATAACCTAACAATTCTCCCACTTGGAGACTGATCCAATCATCTCAGAAATTGCCAACATCATCAATTTCTTCACCGCACCGCAACATCTGTAGTGAACAACTA